TTAAATTTACTCTGATCTTAAAATTCACTTTCACCACCCGGCTCTTAATGCATTGTTTTCCCTTCTGGAGCATCAGTGAGCATTTGAACCTTCTGTAATAGTTGCATATGAGTTCAGATCAGTACTAAATAAACAACAAAATGCATTTTGTATGATCCCTCTTATTTTGGTAAAATAATTAACATTTTGCAGATTCTGCAAGGTGCATGTAAACTTTTGACTTCAACTGTAGGTAGCCTATATTATTTCCTCAAGTACCACAAGTCCAAGAACTCAAAACAGTATGCTACAGTGTATTTCTTTTCCACAAGAGGAAGCTTGACTTTCATTACATTTTTATGCACTTGTATGATAAGCATTTTTAGAGCTGTGTTGGGTTGACACAGCCAGAAACATCAGACTGGACTTCCTCCATATTTTACCCTTAGTGAGTCAGTTATATGCTAACTGGAATAATAGTGTATTTGTCTTCTGGTGTTTAGGAATAGTATTATCCATCATAATACCTCCATATTACTTCTCTATGACTACAATTTTCATGATATGACCACCTTAAGAAAGTTCAGCGCTATAATGATCTAAATGGTGTCCGTTTTAATTCATGTTCTCCCGCTGGCTATCCTACCGACAGTTTTACTCACTAATGGTGCGAGTACTGCTAGCTCATCGAAGTAAATATGAGTTTCCACCGGCAGTCTGTAGATTTCTCCTGGAGCTTTTCCAGTCCACCTGGACACAATACCACCTGTTATTAACAGCGCTAGACCACACAACAACAAATGTAATTACTGACCTGACCTCTACCCATTCTAATCTCCCTCGCCAGGCTGACAGCGGTAATAATGTGTGATTTATAATCGTTCTAGCAGTCTGAGTGTGTATCACACACACACACCTGTGTCACACAGCAGCTCCTGGTAATACAGCTGAAGATATCACAGGGTGAGCAATGTTAAAGAGGTCTATTTCCATCCGGCGCACAGCACAGGGCACAATTAGCTCACGTGCTAATACAGGATCTCATCTGTGATGTAGCAGCTGTTACCAGACTCACTTGCACGGAGCCGCCTCATGTATGTTTCACATTGCCCTGAAGTGCGCACTAAATAGAGCGAATGCAACAGGCTGACACTTGGGTTTAGACGATTGTTGTTCCAACATTTAGCAACACAACAGCTTGGCCCATAAATTAATTATTGTTATGGATTGAGTTGTCTGTCAGTCTGCGAGAGATGCCGCGTGAATGCGTGGTTGGGTTGGCGTGAGAACCCGAGAGCTCATTACAGCTATGGAGAAAAACAAGCAATGAGCAAAATAAAATCCCATCTGCTCTTCTTTTAAATATTTTGTCTTCTCCAAGAAATAGAAGCTGAGCTTAGTGCTTTAAAACACTCTCGATGCATATCTGCTTTTTAATTAACTTATTAGTATTATAATAATTATTTTATTAAATTACTGCTGCACTGAAAATGATATTTTGGACCGATTTTAAAAATGCTCTAATTAATTATAGCCAAGTTCTTCTTTTTTTTTTTTGGTCCAAATGTTAATTTTTTTTTCTGATATTAATTTGAATTTATATTCTAATATTTTGAGATACTGGATTTTTGACTTTTATGATCATAAAAGACTTTTTTCTAATCATCATCAAAAAAAACATATATATATTTTGAAATGTTTAAATGTAATGCATCTAGAATATATGAAAGTTACAAAAAATAAGTTACAAAAAAATAACTTTTTCACGATATTCAAATTTTTTGAGATGTATTAATATAATAAAAATATTATTTATTATATTATATTATAATAAATATATATATATATATATATATATATATATATATATGCTTTTATTTATTTATTTTTCATTCATTCATTCATTCATTGAATTTTCATAGGCCTCACAATGCACTAAATAAATGACATTTCCCTTTTTTTTTTCAGTGTGGAAACCACCAAAATGACCACACCAAATCCACTCTGAACACTATATAAATTATCATATTGGTAACACTTTAGATTAGGGAATTAGGGAACACTATTTACAATTAACTAGATATCTATTAGCGAGCACATTACCAGTGGTGAATACCTGGAAGCCACACTTAAGTCAAAGTGAAGTAAAAATGCAAAATGGAAAAGGAGCAAATAAAGATTTTAAAAAAAAAAGTTTATACGCAGTTTGAGCAGCAAGACTGTGTTCAGTTTTAAGCATTTCTTTCATTTTGTATCTTTGGGTAAGCATGAGAGGCACTTCATCCGGTACTTAGTCTCTGTCATTTCAACAGAAGAAAACATTTCTAGAATCTGCATCTGAAGTGCCATTTAGATGTATTTACACAGTTTAATGGCGCTCAGATGGGACATGGATGCATTTAATCTGCAGTTACTGATGCACATATAATGCTTTGTTTTAAAAACAAAATGATGAATACCAATATTTGAAATTATTTAAAACATGAAAAAAAAATTTTGAAATGTAAAATTAAAACCACCAGGTGGCAGCAAGTCACTGTTAACGAGTGAGTCATTGAGATTCAACCGATTCATTCAAACGGCTGATTCATGCAGGAACGAAGCATTTGACTGTGTTAATGAGTGAATCACTGAATCATTTATTCAACAGATTCGTTCAAAAATGCAAGACGCAAAACAGCGCTGTGATCTTTGTTTGGAACTATTTTCTTTGGCAAAATTGAGCAAAAACAGGCAATATTGTGTCTAAAATGTAAGTCACTTAATTCTAACTGTATTTAACATGTATAAAATCAATATTACATTTGTTATCATGCTGATATCTGGAGAAAAACGGCACTCTTCGTCTGATATAGATGAACTGTATTAAATGATATAAATATAAAAGACATGCAGAGGCATTTCTGCCATCTACAATTTAGAATGCCTTGAATTTTGATGATTCTAAATGCGTTTTAATAGACTGAATCACACAGTGTATGTGTGCACTCTCTGTGTGTGTTTTTTTACTCGATATGTCAGATCGCACATCGTTAAAACAACACTTACCATATTATCGCAGACGATATAGGCTACTGTATATCGCACACCCCAGCCTCGACTTGAGTGGAAAATGAAATCATTTGCTGTTGTGTGAGCACTCGTTTGCAAATGAGCAAAGGTGTTTTTAGGAGTCTAACTTGGAAGTGCCAGACCACTGATTCGTCAAAACCTGCTTTCTTGCAGTCTGTGTTCTTTGTAGTAAGTAACAAATATGCTTTGGGGAAATGTATCAGAGTAAAAATGTACATTTTAATTAGGAAATGTAGTGGAGTAAAAGTGAAAGTTGACAAAGTACTGTAACAAAGTATTATTACTTCGTTATATTACATCACTGCATATTACTAGTATATTAGCTGTTTTTTAGAAGTACTGTAACAAAGTATTATTACTTTGTTATATTACACCACTGCATATTACTAGTATATTAGCTGTTCATTAGTAGGCTACTTATAAAGCACATACTAAAGCATGACCATATTTTAGATCCCTCACTACACCATACCTAAGCATAACGACCACAACATCTTTCTTACTATTAAATTAGGAGTTTATTGAGGGAAAACATTTGGTTACACTTTATTTCGATAATCCACTTGAGACATTCTATTAACTATAAGTAACTTTGTAACTACATGTCAACTAATTCTGATTAATTTGCAACTACATGTCTACTAACTCTCAGAGTAGACTGTTAGGGTAGGTTTAGGGTTAGTAGAATAAGTTGACAAAGAAAGTGTTAGAAGATATTAAGCAGACAGTCTACTAATACTCTACTAACTGCTAGTTGACATGTAGTTGCGAAGTTACTTGCTGTTAATAGAATGTCTAAAGTGGACTATCGAAATAAAGTGTTACCAAACATTTTGTTAATCATGAATATGTGTTCGCTAAATTTAAGTGTTAACAGAATTTTCTTACCATCTGAATTCTGCAGTTAGCACAGCCTCAGCTGCTACACTGTAACCGATTTTTGTAATTTGAACAGTATTATACTGTAATATGTACAGTAAGATACTGTAAAATGTGTATACAGTATTTGACTGTAAACCGCAAAGGATTACGGGAAAATATACGGTCTAAATTACTGGCATCCAGCTGCCAGTAAGTTACTGTAAAATTTACAGCAACCTATTTACAGTGTACTACAGGCGACGCATCTCGCCAAACCACACTTACCAAGAGCAGACAGCACAGAATGAGCTATGTGCCAGTTACAAAGGACACAGTCTTGCAGTCAAAGAAAGCTGGGCTGAGCGCAACCGAATACATAGGTTTTGAGATGTGGTTTTCAAGGTTGAGCTATGCATCACCGATGGTACCAAGCAAGACATCCAGTGGCCAAAGATATCCAGCTGTATATAGGTGTACATAAATCCACATTAAAAGAACATGTTTTGTGTGAACGGCCCCTAAATCTACCAGACTGACAAATTTGATTAGACAATGGATTGATGTGGAAAAGAAACAATACACTGACTTCTAATTTTTTTTTTTTTTTTATGTCAGTGCTTCACTGATTAGTGTAATGTCTTTCATTGTCTCAAATATTGATATTGATTTGTGCAGTTCATTGGATTATTTTGCATGTTGTGTAATCACACTAAAATATTTTATAATAATATAACACAATAATATATAAAATACATATACACTTTTTAAAACCAGATTGGTTTATTTAGAGATAGAGCACAGACTTTGCATGGATGTCACTCTGTATTGTATTTATGGGTATTAGAGAGAGCTCAGGGTGTTTCATGGGTTTAAGGGAAAGATAGACTGAAAGCTTCAAATGATTTCAGCTCTCAGTCCTTCAGCATATAAAATTATTACAAGCCGCAGAACATCATATAAACAAGAAATGCCATCATTTTCGCCTGCCAATCCTTCGATTCAGTAATAAATTGCACATTTTCAGAGAATAGCGTTACTGCTCCCTTGTCTCAAAATGGTTTTGTTCATGGTTCTCAATATTTTTTCAGGCTCTTGCCATGGGAATGATGACAGAGTATTACCACTACATTTTTACTACCCTGGTAAGTTATGCATGAGTCTTTATATTATAAATCACATTCAAAATCACAGTGATATTCATAAAATCATTTGGATTTCAGGCTATTATATTCCGTAAGTAGGAACATAGAAGCTTCTTTTTTTTTTTTTTCCAGTGCTGTTTCCTATTTTCTTCGAGATATGCCAAGAAAACTTATTATTATTTTAAAATGACTTTTTTCCCTATCCCATTTGCAGGCCTAAGTTATATAAAAATGTTTAGCAAGTTATTGTGATGTATTTATATTTAATTCAATACACAAATAATTTATACAACAGTTAAATCTATAAAAATTGACTTTTTTTTTTTTTTAAGAATACTTATTTTTTTCCCTATATTTTTGTGTCAATAGAAAAACTGTCAAATAAAGGAAATAACATATATTGTATTTATTTGTTTCATGGCTGGTAAATTTATGACATCTTATGACATCAAGGAAGCTCACTAGATTTTAGACTAAAGCTTGTATATAACACACATTACTTTTGCAGTTTTATTTTTTTTTAAATCACATTTCAGTAAATTTATAAACTTTTCACATATTTTAGGATCTCTTTGCGTTGGATGTGGAGCCCTACCGCTACAGCGGGGTCAACATGACAGGATTCCGGATCCTAAACACAGAGAACAGCCAGGTGTCCTCCATCATTGAAAAGTGGTCCATGGAGCGTCTGCAGGCGCCTCCTAAACCAGACTCTGGCCTGCTGGATGGTTTCATGACAGTAAGACGCTTTTACAGCATGTTCTCTTTGAAAATATTTAGGCCAATGATTTTCAGCTGGCTTTGGTTCAGGACTCAGATTTTACATGCCATCATGTGGCAACCATACACGTTTCAAAATTAATACTTTATTTTGACATTCTCCTAACTTTAAGTAACATTTCAACCAGTTATTAGAGTATTAGTTGACTGTCTGCTTGATATCTGCTAACACGTAACACTTTTGATGGTCCCCCAACAGACATTCTACTGACTATAAGTAACTTTGCAAGTACATGGCAACTTATTCTACTAACCCTAGCCCTAGTGCATTTATACCTAGCAGAGCATGTGAGCGGAGTGATTTTTTTACTTTACATTTATGTATAAGGCTTGCAACTTCGTTGAAACAATATCTGGACTCCATAGCTGCTCTACTATTCTCGATCTCTACAGATTCTCGATCTCGAACAAGCAAATGACCAAACGGCATTCTGGGTTGAGCGAGCGGCACTGAGCGTATTGAGCGAGCGGAGCGGAATCTTCAGAAAGGCGCTCTGCGCTCTTAAGGAAATATTACCACTCCGCTCCCCGCTCCGCTCCGCTCACATGCTCTGATACCTAGCTATAAGCCTGCCCTACTAACAGTCTACTAATACTCTTAATACAGAGTTAGTTGATATGTAGTTGCAAAGTGACTTATAGTTAGTAGAACGTCTAAAGTGGACTATTTAATACGTTGTTTCTCATACAAAGTAAACAAAAACAAATTAAAAAGTAACATCAAATAGTTTAATACATATACAGTATATAATAATTCAACAAACAGCACATGGTCAACACACACCATATTTATCGTTGTTGCAATCGAACTTGCATTTAATGTAGTTCGTGTTATTTATTCCAAGTAGTTTTGGTTCATGGTTTTCAAGGGTGAGGTCATGTCACGCAGCCTGTCTATGCTGGCATCTGTTTAACTTGGCTTGACCATGTGACAGATGAATTTGTGCCAAAATACCATTGAGTTTGACTGCTAACTATTCATATACAGTACATGGTTAGTTGGATTTTAGTATTTAGTGTTTTCTTTTCAATGAATCAGAACAGAGATCGGACAGATTTTGGGGATTATTGTTTTAAGTCTCTTGCCTGTTATTTACAATAGTTATAAGTCATCAGAAAAGCATGGTATGAAAATACAGTCAAGGTGATAACAGTAGAGTTTGTTTTTAATTGATGCTGCAGGAAGTTGTTTGCTCTGTCTGTGTATAGCACTATTCCCCAGAGAACTCGAACCCACAACCTGCAGGGTATGCTGCGATCTGAAGCGTGTGTGATAAACAAGGACTCTGCTGTAGTGATCTAAAAACTGTCTGATATCAGCATACTGGCAGTATCCCAGTTCTTCCTCAACAGTGGCTCTCCTATCCGGGAAAAGGGCCAACATATGAACTCACTAGAGGATGGGTGAGACGGAAACAGAGGAAAGATGAGAGCTCACATGCCAAAACGATCTAACCTGCCAAAATAACTCTCATGGGACACAACACAATGACACTTCATTGGACTCGTTCCTTCACGTCCTGTTTAGAGAGAAATTTACCCAGCTATGATAAGTGAAGACTTAGATTCTGTCATGATTTACTCACGCTCATGTCATTCCGAACCTGTCTGTCTTCTTTGGTCTGTGGAACACAATAGGAGATATTTAGCAGAATGCAGGGGGACCGTGGGTGCTTAAAGTCATGCCTTTTAATCTCCTTTATAAATTTAAGGTCAGTAAAAAGCTCTTAAATAATAATAACATCTTGGAGCTCATCACAAGTCTGCTGCAGGCTTGAGTTGTGTCGTTTTGTTCTGGTATGGAAATACAGTAATATTTTTATTTGTTCAGGTCTTTAAAAGGTCTTAAAGGGATACTTAATCCAAAAAAACAAAGCTCTGTTATCATTTACTCATTCTCAACTCATTCCAAACCCATAAGACTTTAAAGACACAAACGAAGATACAGTATTGTTAATATTTTGATATCAGCGATTTTAGATTAAGCTGCATATAAATATGGGTGATTTTCAGTTTTTGTTGGGTCTTGAAAGGGTCTTAAAAAGCCTCAATTTGCCCTTCTACAAATTAAGGCCTAAAAGGTCTTAGAGCAGAAAGTCATAAATTCTTAAAATCTTGACATTGAATGTTGCATGTACTGCAAACAATTTCTATCTCCCTCAGTATTTTTGTCTTGTTTTCTAATACAAATATATGAACTTCCTTAAATCAAGATACATTTTATGCTTAAAACAACAAATACATGTCAAAATATATGTCAATGATGTATATTCAAAGGGAAACGTTTTTACTTAGAATTTTTCTAAGCCCATTAGCAGATATTTGCCCTTGGTTTAATAATAAAAAAATAAAAAAATAAAAAATTTTAATTAATTTTTCAGAAAGACTTTTTTTTATCTTATGACATTTTGCTTCTCAAGCAAATCTGTCTTGATTTAAGAATCTTTAGGCATTTGCATTGGAAAACAAGACAATAATACTGAGGAAAACTTTTTTTTTGTGAAATGAAATTAAAATGAAAAGTAATGTTACATAAAAGTAGACCAAATGACTCAGCTGTGTTATATTCCATGTCTTCTAAAGTAGTCATTGACGTCAAACCTGACATGACCTGAGATGATGTGACATAGTTGAATTCAATTCATTCATTGTACGTCTGTAGAAGAACGATTTGGAATATAGTTCACAAGTTGTATGGAACTTTTTATATTGCATTTTTGGAGCTTAACAGTGTGAATTTTCGAAAACATCTCTTTGTTCAAAACATCTCGTGGCAGAACTAAAATCATTCAGCTTTGGAACAGCATGAGGGTGAGCAATCCTTGAATAATTTGAAGAAAGAATCCAGTAGAGAGTGAACTATATCCAAACACTCATGGCAGTGGATATAGACAGCTGAAGGGAGGCCAGCTGGAAGGTAAATTTCCCCTTTCTAACCCAGTCGATTAAAAGACTCAAAGCCTTTAATTAGCTGACTCAGCCTGTCTTACAGTACAGCTCACACAGTAACTCATCAGTCTATCTTCACTCATCGGCTCAGAAAAAGACAAACTCTCTCTATTCAAGACTGTCTATCCACATGTCAATCCCTTTCAGCTATAACATTGATGGCCATGATTATTTAGAAACCATAATGGTTCAGGTTTTCCTGAGAGCTGCATTTGAAGGCAGGCGTTAATTAATCAGCCAAATGGCAATCAGTCAGAGGCTAATGCATACTGACACTGTGAAAAGTTTCCGTAAATGTTTGATTAGCAGTTTCACTGGTTCGCTATATTTATGGTTCTGTTAAAGCTTTATATTGAACCACTGAAACATATTGAGCTGAGATTGTAACAAATACTTAGTGAGAAAAACAGAGTTGTGGCCATTATAATTGGTTCTTTTTACATTGTCAATATTTATTTATTTTTAGCATTTGTTCAAAGCAACATTTTAAGTTTAGCAAATTCTAAAATAGTTTAGCTTTAGATAACACAACCACAGTCATTTCACTGACTATTGCATATTGATTAAGAAAATTGCATACAATACTGGCAAGCACTTGAGAAAATTGCAAGCTCCACTGCAACACAACTTCCAAGACTCAAAATGTCAGATTAATATTAGGGGTGCCTGTGATAAAGAAAGTGAGAAAGATTTTGGATTTTCCAAACTTAGACAGATTCATCCAATTAATTAATTAATTAATTAATTAATAATAAAATAACTGCTTACCCTAATAATAATAATAATACTGATACTACTACTACTACTACTACTACTACTACTACTAATAATAATAATAATAAATAAATAAATAATTTAATGATTTTAAAGGGGTCATATGATGCGATTTAAATTTTTCCTTTCTCTTTGGAGTGTTACAAGCTCTTGGTGCATAAAGAAGATCTGTAAAGTTGCAAAGACTAAAGTCTCAAATCCAAAGAGATATTCTTTATAAAAGTTAAGAGTCAGCCACGCCTACCTAAAACGGCTCGTTCTAACACGCCCCCACATGTCTACATCACTATGTGGGAAGATTTGCATAACAACGCCCAAATGTTCACGCAAAGAAAGAAAGCATAACTTTTATTCTCGCTGTAGTATTGATGCCGCCGCCATGTTGTGAAGACGCTGTGTGCTTCGTTGTCAAAGCGAATCTACTTTGTTTGGTCTTCCAAAAGAAGACGATATC